TGCATCATCAATTTCATCATCACTTGAGCTCTCATACTTATGTCTTGCTTTGCCCTTGATGAGGACATCGCCACGCTGGACACACCGACGTCATGGTCTTCCCCAAGTTGCAATTCGTTCCCAACTCAGCTACCACGTCACCCTCGGATTCAGCAGACACGTCGTCACTGTTTCGGTCATAACTTCCTCATACGATGTCGAAACGGGCCGTTCTTGGATGCGTTGGAAAGGGGACGACGACGCCGTCGTTTTGGATCTGGTCCCAGCTCCAGAAGGTCCGTGGATCATTCTGTGTGACCACGGCAAGGTGCTGCGTCACCTATTTGGGCCAACTTGGCCATGTATCGTGTCGGGCCTTAAGCCCAAGTTGTGGGCGCCCAACCCCTGGCCGTCCCCAACCCTAGGTCGAGTCTTAGACTATAAACACAGCCGTCGCCGCTGCTACACAATTGGGTTTTTGTTTAGAGTTTAGTTTTCCATCGAGAAACTGAATCGTTCATTGTAACTGTGGTGACAAATCCTTTTACAGTGATCCAGGGCCCCCGTTCTTGATCTCCTCCACTGTGTCGATTAGTCCTTTGGAACCGAGTTCTTGAACCCTCTATTGATATTCGCGTCATTCATATTTGCAATATCAGATTGCGTGTTTTACCTTCTTGCTTGTGCTCTTCGATTCGCTTGCAGGAAAAGCCTTCTTGGCGAGGTCAATCAAGTTGTGCTTGGTTGATAACCAACGGAGCAGTGGTGTAACGGTTGCAGGGTTCGAATCGCGTCTGATTTGAAGCCGGATCGCCAACGTCGAGATCTCCACATATCGAACTTACCGGCTACCTCTCGGAAGATCGGGCCTGTACTCATCAGCCCTTCTCTTGGCTAGCCTTGAATGCTAAGTCTTTGTCTTTCTTTTTGGTAGAGGATGAGCCATCTTGTGGTGTGATGTGCGTGTACATCTCATGAGCGTTGATCTTACCCAAGATTTGAGTTGGTGTAGCGGTAGAAAGATCACCTTGATGAAGCATGGTCATAATATGCCCATATTTGTCAATGGGGAGGACACTCAAGATTTTTCTTACAACATCGGATGGTTGCATTTGAGTGAGTCCAAGCCCATTGACTTCCTCTACAAGAACATTTAAGCGTGAGTACATTTTATTAGCACTTTCTTTCGGAAGCATCTCAAATGAATTAAACTTTTTCATAACAAGATGATATCGTTCCTCACGCTCGCTCTTAGTTCCCTCATGGAGCGCACAAATATCCGACCATAGTGCATGGGCGTCTTTGTGGTTCTTCACCTGATTAAACACATCTTTACAAAGGCCTTTAAAGATGGTGTTTCTAGCCTTTGCATTCCATTTTTCGTAATTCACTTCATCGCCTTGAAGGTGCATGTGATCCCTAGGTTTTGAGAAACCTTGAGAGGCGGCTCTAAGAATTCCAACATCTAGAGCTTCTAAATATGCCTCCATGCAGATTTTCTAATAAGAAAAATCATCTCCCTTAAAGATAGAAGGAGGTCCATACCCGTGAGACATCTTTCTCTAGGCGGTTAAGCCTAAATACGTGAGCACGAGGCTCTGATACCAATTGAAAGGATCAGGATGCTCAAGAGGGGGGGTGAATTAGGCTAATTCTAAAATTCTTTGTAATAATTAAACCCTACACTTAGCCTACTTCACCCCTTTGCCTAGAATATGATTCTAATGATCTATTGCAAAAAAATTTAGCACCCTAAGTTCCAATCCTACTCTAGCGTGGCAATTCTAAGAATGTAAAGACAAGAATTGAATTGCTCAAAAGTAAATGCTCAAAGTAAAGAGAGGAGAAGGAACGTAGCGATGTTTTGCCAAGGTATCGGAGAGTCGTCACTCTCCACTAGTCCTCGTTAGAGCACCCGCGCAAGGGTGTAGCTCTCCCTTGATCCGCGCAAGGATCAAGTGCTCTCTATGGGTTGATTCTTCGACACTCCGTCGTGGTGAATCACCCACAACCGCTCACAACTTGAGTTGGGTCATCCACAAGCTCCGTCGGATGATCACCAAACTCTCAATTACCACCAAGCCGTCTAGGTGATGGTGATCACCAAGAGTAACAAGTAAGAACTCTCACTTGACCACAACAAGCCTAATGAGAAGGGTGGATGCACACTTGCTACTCTCTTTTCACTAATGTGGCATTAATCTTGGATTCTCAAATCTCAATCACTTCATTAGGCTCTTGCTCTCCTTGGCACTCTCAAGGGTGTTTCTCAGCTGTTGAAATGGGCAAGAGTATACCCTTGAATGAATAGAGGAAGTATTTATACCCCCTCATTCAAAATGAACCGTTATGTGCCTGAGTCAGCATTCTGTGGGGTGACCGGACGCTCCGATCAAGGTGACCGGACGCACAGGTTAGCTCTCCCCGCCACTGAGCCGTTAAGTTGTGACCGGACTCTGACCTGCGTCCGGTCAGCACTAACCGGACGCGTCCGGTCATAAAAACTGCTCTCTGGAACCTTACTGATGTTGACCGGACTCTGGCACCCAGCGTCCGGTCACTTTGCTGCTCAGCGTCCGGTCAGTAACCGGAACCTGACCAGTGTCCGGTCAGCACTGACCGGACGCGTCCGATCAGGATTCTCCCTCTCTGGAACCTTACTGGAGTTGACCGGACTCTAGCACCCAGCGTCCGGTCACATTTCAATCAGCATCCGATCGCATCCAGACGACTTCACTTGATCAAATAAACTACCGAACTCTACTGCCAACGTCCGGTCACACCGGGACCAGCGTCCGGTCAACATTTGACCATCCATTCACTTTCAACTCGAAATCATATGTGAATGAAGTTTTTTTCAATTGATCTAAGGGCTACTTAGGAGCTACCTAGTGCTATATTTGACAAGTGTGCACCACACCTAACCCACTAGACTCATCTAAGTCAAGCTACTAGTCCATACCCCCTTAATAGTACGGCCAAAAGAAAAACAAAGTCATAAACTACTCTAAGTATCTCTTCAACATCAAACGACACTTAGAACTAGTTTATCCTTAACCTTGTCGTCCATCCTTTGAAAATCAAAACGATTTTCATCGTAGGGGCATGACAATCATGATTGCACAATCAATTATCATTACCATGACCTAACTTAATTACTTCTATAAAACACACGTTAGTCATAATAATCACGTATTGTCGTTAATCACTTAAACCTAACAAAAAGCATTAGATGCTTTCACACGCAATGGAGAGGAACGGTGTCGGCTGGGAGGAAGAAAAATATATCGTTCTCAATGATGGAGAATAATTTTAGATGGACCATGAGAGGGAGCAGGCCGCGCAACTCCGCAGGCCCACGGGAGTTGTGTCTGGACGGTTCCGTCGCCAGTATCAATCATTATCGTTAGAACATTATCGTACACCCCGTCGCCCGAATTCAATTATATTATGAGGTAGCGCAACATACGCACACCACAGTCGCACTACTGTCACACAGTGAGTGAAGCTGTATCATATACGTATAGAAGTATCCCTAAAGCACTCCCGTGTGTATAAAATCGTGGGCAAAGGTTATTTCAGCCTAAATGGATAATGTCTTTGTCACCATCACATCGACAGATTCCCCAATGGATGGGATTTTAAAAATATCTCTCGTGCATCCTCTTTCCTTTTTTTCAAAAGGAAAAAATATCCTGTACAACACCGGGTGTGGCTTTTAGTTAGATTTTTGAAGGAAAAAATGACGTCTCAATTCCTCATCGAGTGTGGTTTTCAGTGAAATTTTTAAAGGAAAAAAGAGGTTTTCCTCATCTCGGTCTGCGGCCACAGACCATTCCGACATGTCAGATGACTTGCATCACACGCACATATATATGCGCGTGCGTGACTCGTGCATTCTTTTTCGAGAGGGAAATAAAGATCCTGTTGAACACCGGGTGAGTGAAGTTGCAATACTAGCATGATCCTGAAAATCGTACCTGGGCTAGGTAGCTCACCCAGGCCGTCGACAACACCTAGTAGGGCTGGATCGACATGCCTGAGGCTGAGGCAGGCCAGGTCACGATCCAAACACTGGCTAGTTCTTTTACCATCACATCTCTCCAACTACACAACCAGTCTGAGCATCTTTGCTAGCCCATACGACCCTTTTTTTACAAAAAAGAATCCGCTACAAACTCTGGCCAACAAAAACAGACAGGGTACTTGGCTCTATATATTCAGAATCGATAATTTTCCCCCCATATGATAGTTTCATTACAATAATATCTAGAAATCCTCAAAGCTAGAGGCATAAATTTAGATTTCTAATCAGATATAAAATGAACTAACCAGATGGTATGTACGTCTATCATCGTGATTATCACAACAAAAACAAACAGTTTGAGAATTGATTGCAACACCAGCAGTCATTAGTGGAGCTGGAACAGTAGTACCATCAGAAAAAAAAAACGCGCAGCAGTTCCAATACCTGGACTGCCATCTGATTCCCCAATTCATGAGACCACAGCACATCAATCCCTCCATGTTTTTCAAGCATTACAGATAACAGCTGGTAATCAGACAACAATATCCCAAGGCCATCAGAAACAATAGAGATGATACAACTGCTGCTTTATATAGTTGTGCTAAGAGATTACAGTGTTCTGACTGTTTGCTCACAATACAAAGAATGTATGTATCAGTCTGCGTATAAATAACAGCATTGACATATAGTTCGTGTGAACAGTTCCCTCAAACAAATGATAATTTACTTCTAAAACAATAAACACCGCGTATAAAAAAAAAGCAAAATTCACAATTTACGCTGCTGGCCGGCACTAAAGGCAAAGGTAGAAAGGCTCCATGATTTTAAGTCCGCAGCAGCACCGGCACCGAAGAAGCTAATAAACAGAGGCATAACTTAGATGCAAATCCATCCTCATCTACAACAAAAAATTTCCCATCTAGCCTCCTCAGGTATTTACACGAGGGGGCACAGATCTTGATTGAGCCTCTTCAAATAATAGTCACGGTCTCGATCAGCAGTTCACACCGCATTGCCCCAAGGCGGCAGCTTTCTGTGTCGGGGAGATGAAAGGATCGATCTTCACCCACAGCAAGGAGAAGATAGATGCAAGGAGGATGGACCAGACGATGACGATTGTTGGTGTGCGGTTCTGCCTGCCCATGAGACCCTTGAGGAAGGGGTAGAGATGGAGGATCACCCAGATCGAGAAGAACAGCTTTCCAAAGAGCGGACCCCAGGATTGGTAGCCGCTGTTAATGGCATACGAAATTCCTGCCACCATTCCGACCAGGTTAATGACAAGAACAGTGGTCGGAGGAATGATCAAAGTGGTCCACTTGAACACATATAGCTCAGCAAAGTCACCATCCTCATCAGATGCCTTTGAGGTAACTGTGAAGTTGGTATCAATCCCAGCCAACACTTTCAGCAGACCCTGGAACACCGCGAAGAGATGGGCAGAGGTGCCACCAATAACCCAAAACTGCTCATTTCTCCACCAATCTTCAATGCCAACGCCACTCCATCTGAGCTCCAGTATACCAGTGGCAAAAATGGAGGCAAAAAGAAGAATGAAGAACATCCCAGCATAATTACTAATCTGCACATCACAAAATGATATGAACATTAGAAAGATGGCCAAATGATAATCAATTGAAAGGTCGGCGGAATCTAGGGAAAAAAAACAGCTCTGCTGATCTAGAACACATGACAGCACAAAATGACTATTTGCTTGCATCCATTAACATCACAAGTGAAATAATTCAAAACAATAGACTCTGTATAGAGTAAGAAAAAAGGCAAGGGAAAACAAACACTAGTTATGGCTACTTGTGCACTGGTACTATTTGTTAGTTCAATGCGATAACAGTTATACAGAGTAGAGCAGTGATATGACAAATGATAAATTATGAGAAAAGAATTCTACTTAACAACAGAAGGAAGGGAGGATATCTTGTCACTAACCTCAGGAATGATAAATTTGTTGGTAAGGAGACAGATAGCAGGAAGCACACAATAGGCAATAAGCGGAAGAGATGTGATTGGATAAACAATGGTGTTGATGTAAGCCAGCCTCTCCAAAAGCTTCAATCGCCCATTGTAGCCATACCAGATAGGACAATGTCTGCTAAGCAGAATTTCCACTGACCCAAGAGCCCAACGGAGCACCTGATTAAGACGATCGGAAAGATTGATTGGTGCAGAACCCTTGAAACAAGGTCGTGGTGGCATGCAGTAGATTGATTGCCATCCTCTTGCATGCATTTTAAACCCAGTCAGAATATCCTCCGTAACTGAACCATAGATCCAGCCAATCTGAAACAACATAACAAAGGACAATCATAATCTGAGTCCTCAAATGGGAAAAGGAGATCCCATGCCACGATGGTAGGTTAATATGAATCAAAGAAAGGAAAATATGCTTGTCACACTAACCTCTTTTCCCCATTCAGTTTTGTCCTCATACCCACAGCTGATGACATGGATAGCTTCCTTTAGTAGAGAAGCTGGGTTTGTTGAAGGTGGTATGCCACCTTGAGTCATAAAGGTGGATGCAATGAAAATTGGAGACTGACCAAAGCGTTTCTCCAATTTCCTCTGGGACATAAGCACTGACCTTTCATCCTCATAACCTAATGGGATTCCAAAAGTAAGATAAGCAGGAGCCAGCCAACTTGAGAAGGTAAGGATTGTTTTGCTATTTATGTCCAGAAATCAGACTAAGAATAATAACAACAACAACAACAAAGCCTATATAACTCTTGTAAGATAAAAAATGCATAACAGCAAGAACACACCTTCAATACCCTCTTCGATGTCTTCCATGTTGAAGATGGGAGCTGAAGATTCTGTCCTCTTCATAATACGGCTTTGACTATCCATATAACTCTTGTTCTTTTTCTTCCTTCTACCACAGCAGCTCTTAACAACAATGTTAGGTTCCAGATCAGCTTCAGTCAAAACAGGATCATATCCATACAAAGCCTGCCTATTGAAACAGCATCCTGTTCCCACATAGACTGGACCCTGAATGCCATCTAGACCTTTCATGTTGATCTGCAAAACAAATAACATGTGAGCCATGAAAGTTTTGTTGTAATGATTACAAAAGGAACCATCAGTCCACAATACTTACATCAAAGAAAACTATGTTCCGATTAGCATATCGATCATGCAAGTCAATGCCATCGAATCTTTGTGGAAATTGTACATAACAAGTTTTCCTTCCTAGAGCTGGATCCATCATGAAGCACATTGCTTCTCTAAGAGCTTTGCTGCTGTTGAAGTAATGGTCACAATCCACATTGAGAAGATAGGCACCATTTGTCAGCACAGCAGATACACGAATCTGCCCACCAGTGAAAGGGGTATGATTAGCATGGAACAGATGAATGAAGTGCCTGGGGTAGAAGTGAATTCATGGAGAGAAAAGCATACCAGTGCATTCATTGCACCAGCCTTCTTGTGATGCTGAAAGCCTGGTCTCTTTTCACGAGAGACATAGACAAGACGCGGTAATTCATTTCCATCAGTGTCAAGACCACCACTGTGCCCCAAGAACACCTGATTTCACATAAAAAAAAAGACATAAGAACCAGATTACATCCATGTTTCTAACGAAGCTTCAGTTGAAGCAATGGGCAGTTGAGCACCTGAATCATGCCAGGATGGTCCCTAGGATTATTCCCAGGCCAAGCAGTTCCATCAGCCATGGTCCACCCCTCTTCAGGCACTTTCTGTGCTTTGGCAACAAGGGCATTGATTCTTACTTTGAATTCTTCATACTCTCTCTGAAAAAAAGCATATCCAGAGTTAAAATAAGAGAAGAAGGTAGAGCAACAGTGATGTAACCATGAGAATATGAGATAGCAGTTTACCTTCATTGCTCGTCTTTCCTTAACAAACGAAGGTTGAATTTTGTCCTTCAGGTAATCTATTTTTTGAGCAAAGTAAAATTCTGGAGCTCTTGGTTCAATATTGTGCTTCTTACAAAAGGGAACCCACTTTCTAGCAAATTCTGCGGTTTCTGAGAGAGACTCAAAAGTCAACATAGCTGAACCATCATCAGAAACATAGCATGACACTTTGTCAACAGGGTAATCCACAGCAAGAATGGACAAAACAGTGTTGGCTGTGATCAGTGGAGGTTCCTTCAATGGATCCACTGTACTGACGAAGACATCAATGGGAGCCAGCTGTGACGGCTCTCCCTCTCTATCATACCTGAAACATTAGAAATAGGTATATCAACACACAAAATGTCAACACAAGTAAAAAAAAAAAACTCAAAGAAACGTGTGCAATGTTGTAGCTTACCTCAATGCAAGCCTGTCAAGGTATGTCTCACGGTTGATCGGATACCATTTTGGGAACTGATCTAGAAGCCAAGACAAGGCAAACCAGACCTCACAGATAACAGATACTAGCCACAATCCATAAGCATTATTCACTGGATGACTGACACGATATTGGAAGAAGAAGCACAGGATGATAAGACGGAGAATGATCACTATCCGGTAAAGGTTGAGCTGGTTTGAGGGAATTGGCACAATACGGCTCAAAGGTAGCCGTGCATCATCAACCCTGCGACAGAAAAAATTACAGAGAACTCAATTTCTTTGAAGCAAAATCTACAATAACTGAATGTGTGCACTATTAGTAAGGGTTAGCTAAGGAAGGATAAATGGATCTTCATCTACTCAGAAATGCAAAATTATCTTAGTCATTGATTAACATGAATGGGCAGTTTAATGCCCTTGTGAGTCCTCTGCAGTGTATGCTCGTATAACATACCCCCCCACTAGTTCATCCCAAAGCAACACAAGTTTCCAGATACAACATGAACATATATCATGCAAACCTAAATCTAATGCACTGTAAGGAGGTATAATATCATAGGCAAGGGAAGGTGGTATACATTTGCATATCTTCTCCATTTGAGCCAGTCCCCTCCATGTCTCCTCCTCCTCTAGCCTCTGGATATTTATTAGTCACTTGCATCATATTTTTGTCCTGTTTAACCCTCCAGCTCTCAACTCTTTCCTTCCAGTCAACACTATTAAGCCCATAGGAATTCAAGTCCTTCGAGGGGTCCACAATCCTCACAGGAACTGAAATCATAGTAAAGAAATATTAATGATCCCCAGCTAATATGCAGACAAATTCTCCAAACATAGCAATTTATGATGTTTGATACAATACCTGGGACGCTTGGATCAACATAGCTTGATGTTGGACTGCGGATAGAATGACGGTCAGGGGAAGCATCAGGGATCTCTCCAGATATCTGAAGATAAGTATCAGTATGTTAGTTGGTAAGAGCACATATTCATATAGAAATAAGTATAATAACAAAAGTGCAGCAGTGGGCAGTAGCGAACAATGCACGACAGTATCACTCAGATCAATAAATGAACATGAATGACATATATTATACCTGTTGTCCACTTGTCAGGCGTGGAATACGATGATGTGACTCATGGCGAGCAGATGAAGACAGATCAGCATCATCTCTTTGCAGTTGCCACTCTGGGCCTTTCCCATTGTTGAATTCATTGTCCAGGTCATCAACATCTTCCTCCTCCTCATCACCATGAACTCGAGGGCTACCTGAATTTCATCAAAGAGGAAGTAAGAAGAATTCGTTAACTACTGTTATAGAGAATAAAATGGATTAGAAGGCTCAATCTAGGCTGTCAAATGTCATTATCATAAGGCACATCCACTACGCTTCAAGCCTGCAACCATTTATTCACGTAAAGTAAGCACGTGATGTGGACTCCCTCATGCTAACATCATACAAGTTACACACACTGAAAGAAGTTGCCAGGAAACCAACCTTTCTGTCTCTTGTATCTAGTCTTGCACTGAGGGCAGCACTGGTTCCCCTCCTTGCGCTCGTACTCATAGCAAGGGCGGCAGACAGGGAAGGCACACTCATTGCAGGCAACAAAGACATCACCAGTGGCTGAAACGCCAACAGTGTCGCCACAAATCTGGCAGACCTGCCCATTCGCGCTGTTCGCGGGCTTAGCCTGCATCAGCGAGATAACAACAAAGTCAGCACACATCAAAACAGAACTACAACAATTGGAAGTCACGTCAGTCACCCATGCACTTCACTGGTGACCAACAGACTGAAAAAATCAGTCTGCGATCAAGTGTCTACTAGTCTTCAAGTCGAGGCTAAGATCAAAATGCCAGAAAGGTAATTTAGAATTTACATAAGATGAACTAATTCAAGGGTGTAATAGTCACAAACAAAGGCACGCTACAGCAGGGCAACGAAGGATCTAATTCACCGTCGGTGCCATGGTAAGGAACTGTTGAGGCACGGGTGGGATCTAAACAATCCGAGGCTGCATTTCACTGGATCTCCGAAACGTTAAAGCATGTCCACTACGGCACTACCTATTGGTGATTTGGCAACTCTTCGAAGAATTCGACCGAGCACGAACAATTCAGAAATCGCCAGGAGGACATGACTGATCTGGTGATTTACACGGCGCGACGGAAGCATCGCTGAAATGTGCCGGCGAAATCTACAAGCAGAGACACGCAGAATTGAGGGGCGAACCCCGAGCGTTACACTAGGACTGACACCTCGGCCCAGATCCACCGACAGACGCGCGCGCGCACGGCACGAGCCACCGCTAGGACCAGAATCTGAAGCAGGCAGCGAGGGCGGCATTGGGTGGACGTACCGGGGCGGGCGCGTCGCCGTCGTGTCGGATCATGACGAACTCGTTGCGGTTGTGCGAGCCCGCCACCATCCCTTTGTTGGCCGCCATCTCCGCTCCCCTTCACGCTCCTCCCACCGACACCGCTTAACACACACGCCACCGACACTGACGACGAGGCCGGCGGAGACCGATCGGCCCGTGCGGGCCTCTAGATCCGAGCGGCGGCGGCCACCACCATGCCCCCAGATCCCTCCCGCTCCCTCGCTGGCTCGCTGCAGTGGTGCTGCTGCCGCTTCCGCTTCCGCTTCCTCTCCACACCTTCCTTCCTTCCCCCTTCTTCTATTATTACATACTCCCCCGCTCTCACTCGGTTAGTTTAGTTGAGTTGGTGGGAGTCGCCTTCCACCGGCTACCGCCGGTGGCCCGTCGACTCGTCGAGCGCGTACACGTAACGGCGGGGAGGAGCACGGGGCGATCCGGGCCGTTGGGACGCGAGACGGAGGAGGCATGAGCCGTCGGATGCGGAGGGGCGGGAGCGTGCACGTCCACGTCGCGTCGCTGTCCACAGGCTGTCCCCCGCCGCGCACGCTGCGAGTGGGCGCTCGGATGACCGGCTGCAGCGGGTCGATCTGTCGGCGCCTCGTCGGCGGACAGAATTGCCCTCCTACCTGCCGCTGATTATTGCATTTTTTTTTTGTTTCTGTGGCAAAAAAGGGGAGGAAATGCCATGTGCACCATGCGTGTTCCGTGTGAGTTGGCATCGGCCTGATCATGCGCTTGTGATTGGTAGATGCATGCAGAGATCACGGTTGAAATCTCAGGATTACAGTGTGTGTATATGTTTTGTCACTCATCATTGATGCTAAGTGCACTTCTACATATAGAATAATGAATGGAGCTGAATTGGTGGTACATGCTAGAAAATTACCTCTCGAAAATGACTTGTCCTTGTTTCTAGTTTGATGAAGAGCATCACAGGTTTTTTTTGCCTTCCTCAGACTGATTAGATCTCTTGGGCAAATTGGAAATGCTTCGACTACTAAGGCTCTATTTGATCTCATGTTCTAAAGTTTAGTCACTAAATTTTAGACCATTTTAGCTCTTGAGACTCCAAATATAAGGTTTAAGGTGTTATCTAAATTTTAGTCAACCTCACAACACTTTAGACCATGAGTTAAAAGTAATCTAAAATTTTAGCCATAACTAAACTTTAGACTATATAGAATCCAAACAGAGCCTACATACTCCTAATATACAGCACTTTCTTCAACCTTTTGATTTCATCCACCGACACCAAAAAAAAAGATTAATAAAAGAGACAATCCATACACGATTTCTTTTATTTATGTGCATGCATGAACTTTTTATTCCTTTGGTAGTGGTTGCAGGTCCTTCTTGTTAACATTTCATAATCACACTACCTTCTTTTTAAAAACAAAAGGCAGGAGGTTTCGTGTTATGAACTAATATATATATATATATATACACACACACACACTCCTTTGCAACGAAACTCTCTCTTTCAGTCTTTCGTATCTGCATCTTCGTCTGGCACAGCAAATATTCATGACAAACAAGTCTGTTTTAATTGGATATATACTGCGCCGTGCTTCCTTTAAACGTCAATGTCTTCTTTATTTGATTCTGATTCAGAAAAGAAATCCAACATTTAAATGTGAAAATGCATGTGCTTTGGACGAATTGGAGGATCAACTGCGAGGGATTTGAGAATCTGTTTTGTTTCTGCAAATCCTTATAAATTTCAGTAGTAAATAAACATGTTTTACTGTAAACAAAGCAAGCCTACTTAGCATTTACTATGTTGCTTAATTTATTTGTGTCAAAACAAAGGGGCAATACATTTCAGTATAGTGAATAAACATGTTTTACTGCAAACAAGCAAGCTTACTTAACATTTAGGAGTACGTTGCTTAATTTGTGTCAAAACAAATAAAGGGGCAGGTGAAGCCAGAAGGACGACGACGGGGCTCTGTCCTCCTCCCTTCGTTCCGTGTGCAGAGAGCAGCGGGCTGCAGTGCTGTCACTCGAGAGCAATAGAGCATACTTATATAAAAAATTGCTGGCTCGTGCTTTGCATTAAACTTGTCCGGTAATCCGTTCCTGTCCCAATAATGGCTGTTGGGGTGCCGCTTTCCTGGCCGTCGGTGACCTCCTTTTTTATTGTTGCATGCCCTCCAGCTTATCTCTTCTCTCTGATTGGGGTTTTGACAACGCTGCTCTGTGTTTTGTTTGTCGTGATGATCAGTCCTGTCTGTGTGATTGTTACTTGTTCGTTATGGCAGCAGCCAGCAGGCATGTGAAAAGAAATCAGGTTGATGCTACGGATGATCGGACGTTCACCGAATCACCCGTTGGTAAGGTTCTCCGCTAACGTGCGTGAGGACTGTGGAGTGTGTCGTGTCATATGTGGTGCACTGGCACTGGAGCCTGAAGGTATGTTGTCACTGACGACTCCGCGCGTGTATGTAGTAATACCTCCGAGACTCCTCTCGCGTCCTGTGAAAGTCACCCCTCACCAAATTTGTGTAGCGTGTCCTGGTATCCTGCTGCCATCGGACGGCAGAGGTGGAAAATGTGCCATGCCGATTGCCAAGAAGAGTCCACGGCGATATGCTTACAAGCAAATATACTACTCCCACCATGCCTTTAGGACAAGATTTGGTCAGCAAATATTAAAAACTACAAAGACCAATAGCTTACAAAGACCAATAGTTTCAAACCATCCTTATTCACATTTTTTCCACTTGCGTTGCACCTCCGTGTCTATTTGACGTGTGTTCATTTGATGCTCTCATATGTTCTTGTTCTAATATAACACTCATATATATGTTTTCTTATCTTTACCCGGTTGTGATAGAGTTAAGTTTTCAATTACTTTTTATGCTTCTTCATCCGCATTCATATTGTTCACCTTTGCATCATACCTTTGTGTCTGTTAGACATATGTTTAGTTGAAACCTTAGCTTCAACTACATGGCTTGCAAATCATTATGCTTATTGTTTCGCATATACATATATATATGGTATGCATACTGATACATACCATGCATGAACACCATGAGTTGGGTTTTTATATTAATAATGGTATAAGTGAGTAACATAGAGTTTGTAGAATATTTTTTGTAATGACATATATATAAATAATTTAGATTTGGAGGTTGCTTTAGATTATTTTAATAAAAAATAGATGTGGGTTACTTTGATATAAATCTAGGGTTTACTTTAAATTGTCCTTCATAACGGTGTATGTAGATAATTTAGATGAAGATTAAGGGGTTACTTTGTTTTTTTACACAATGACAATGGTAGCTACTTTGGATCTAAATTTTAGGAGATTAGTACTTTACTATGGTAGAGGTGTGTCTAATGTTTTCAGAAAATAGAACAAAGATTATATCTATTGTTATAGTCTAGTGAACAGATGGCCAATTGATTATGTTTTTTAAAATTTTGAAAATATTTTTTTTCTGATGTGTCTCCTTCTAGTTAGAAATTAGAACAAATCTGATGACTATTCTTGTCAACAATGACGGGAGTTTATCAAACAGAAGGCGACATATTTTTCTGTTTCTTTCTAAACATTTTTAGAATTTATCTTTTTCCTATCGTGTCTTATGAAAATTTACATAAGCGCTCTATTAGGTCTCTCCAATAAGTAATAGTACGAGCATCTCTAAAAGCTCCTTAAAAATCACTTACTAAACCAATAATTATGCGAAGTAAAGAAAATGAATAGGGATCTCTATTTTTCCCTTTCATCTATAGTTTTCAAATTCCAATAGTTAGCTTTCTAAAACCTAAAAATGGGAGGGGGAAACCAGACAATAGGAGAGAGGGGAGGGGGCACCCAGCTCGAGAGTAAGTGCAAAAGACACACATATCTTGGAATTGGGGGGGTATCAATTGCTTATTTTTAGAGAGTTAATTTAAACAATGTTGGGTCCGTTTATGCCGAAACAAAAGTGAATATAATTAGGAGTTGTTTTAAAGAGGTTTTGGAGATGCTATATTCTAAAAGAAACTAGTGGTCAAAGGTATGTATCAAGGACCATGTAAACTTAAATGTGACAGGCACCTTTTTTTACAAAAGAGAGTAAAATATAAAACACATGTCACTCAACCCACCGTCTGTTTGATCGATACAAATGCGCTAGCCATCGTGAGCTTCTTTAAGATCAAAGTTATAGGAGCAGGGATTTTTGGATATGAGAACTTTGAAAACACGATATGATGGCGACAAGGAAGCCACGCGGAGGAGGCAAACATGGGGCAATGGCATGGCGAATGATCACCGGATGGGAAGTGAGGAGGTCACTTTGTGGTGTTAGTGAGGGGGTGGCAATGGTGGCTCCAATGATAAAGAAATTGCCAGAGATGGGACTAGCTAGGTAAGACTGTCATGAACTTTTTGGATGAGCCTCATGAGTGTAAAAAGAAACTTTTCAGAGTTTGGGAATATTCCGATTAAGAGATGGTAACCATACCAATTTCTACCTACTTAGGAAACCAATAACTGAAAATCCAATACTCAACATTATTCAACATTGTTCACAGTAAACAAGCAAAGGTTACATATATTTTAAATTTGGTTCCACTTAATGTTGAGTTCAGAAGGACATTTGTGGGAAACAATCTACTAGATTAGAATCAATTCCTAGCAAGGGTGGCTAATATTAATCTTTTTTCTAGAATCGGCTAATATTAATCTGCAATAGGATAACAATCATTTTGTTTTGAAACTACATAAAATGGGGTTTCGTGGTTAACTTGATGTACAACTACCAGATCAGTAATGGCTTAAAAGTTTCACACATAGTTTGGTGGCTTGAGATAGGTCCTACTATTTTTTAGCAAACCTAAAATTATCCAACATCTTTTCTTTGAATGCTCATACAACATGTTTTTATGGAAAGAAGTCTATATGGTGTAAAGAATTAAATAAAATTTATTTTATCAATGGTATTCTTGGAAAGATAACGAAGCACTCCCTTTTATTGATTGTTGATGCGTCCATTTTATGGTCAATATGGATAACAAAGAATAAACACTAGTGCAGGACTGAGCATCAGTCTCGATTGGGAAACCCC